AGTTGTAGTTGTAGTTGTAGTTGCAGTAGTAGCTGCAGGGGTAGTAGTTGTAGTAGTAGAGGTAGTAGTAGTAGTAGTAGTAGTAGTAGTAATAGTAGTAGTAGTAGTAGCAGCAGTAGTAGTAGTTATAGTAGGAGTAGTAGTGGTAGTAGTAGTAGTAGTAGTAGTAGTAGCAGTTTCCACAGCAGCAGTAGAAGTACAAGGAACAGATTGACTAGAACTAATAGAAATAGAAGAAGTAAAAGTAGAAGCAGGAGTAGTACTAGTGCAGAACAATTAGTAGCAGCAGAAGCAGTAGCAGTATCAGCTCTAGTAGTAATCGTCGTCCTCGCCCGCGTCCTCGTCCTCGTAGAAGTGGCAGTACCAGTCATGGTCTCTAAGCGACCATGTGCTTATACGGGGCCTGCTCTGAGTCTTTGAGGCCTACCTATATAATTATATACTACATGGGTACATGGACTCTCAGGGTGTACCAGTCGCAGTAGTGGTAGTAGTAGTCGTCGTGGTCTTCTGATTCAACATCATTTTGTAGTAGCAAAAGAAGCAGCAGCAGGCGCCGCCGCCGGTGTCGCTAACGGTGATCACTGATCCTCTTTGCGGGCGCCACGGTTGCTGTTCCCCTTCACTGCTACAACCGCAAGAACTACCACTCCTTGCTAGTCCTGACATCTTTGTCCCAAAATATTGGCCTTAGTGATTAGAACTGCACGGGGTTTGGGGATATACAGTACCAGAACTGCAATAAGGAGCCCCAGGATTGTATTGGCAATTATTCAGGGCCTATGTTACTCGAAGCATGCTGGGCTTGAAGGCATCATGACTGCTACAATCGTCAAGACAATGCTCTCTTAATCGATAATCACGAATTTCAAGCTCCAGGAGAGCCGCCGAGATTAATCTAATTAGGGTTCCGTTTTGTTGTGGGGGCTCTACGATATAAGGGCATGTAGAATTAGAACCCGGTTTCTTTAGGGGCTCCTTAGAAAAGGCTTCTATCAGGGTTACTAAGAGGGATCCATCAGAGTGCCATGGTATAGACAGCCTCAAGAATTAGAGTAGGGTTTCCGGGAAGGAACCTCAAGGGAGAACATGGGATATTGCGCAGGATTCGTATGATTCTATATACCCTAGACCCTAAACCTTGAACCTCAAACCCTAAACCTTAAACCCTAAACCCTAAACCGTATCGGGATCAATGGGTCCAGGCTTTGCTCTGGATCGTAACACCGTGCCTCTTCAAAGGAGCTTTTGGCGGCGCTAATCATCCTCAGCTGGTCTATCCTCCCCAGTCGCAAGAAGCTGCTTCACGAACAAAACCGCCCATGAGCTGGGAGAAGGAAACCCTAAACGCTAAACTAACCCTAAACCCTGAACCCTAGAACAAAAAGGGTGCTTCAACTGCTAGCTGCCGCAGCAGCGCGACAAGGATGCCTCGCTGAACAGGAGCAACCCAGCGACTCCAAAACCACTCAATTGAGGGAATATACCTTAAATCTTCTTCGGGTTCCAACCATAATTTAATACATCAACACAGACATATATGCATATCTCTACTTATCTATCTTCTATCTATCTATCTATCTACCTATCTATTTATCTATATTCCTGAATAAACCGGTTATGATGTAGGGTTCCTTTTTATGGCTTAAGGTATGTTCCTTAATTCAGGGGCCGTGGAGTCTCTGGCAAGACACGCTGGCAGAATCAACTGCAGAATGAAGGTAGGGTTTAGGGTTTAGGGTTTAGGGTTTAGGGTTTAGGGTTTAGGGTTTGGGCTTTAGGGTTTAGAGGTTAGGGTTTAGGGTTTAGGATGTAGAGTCCCCAAAGCAAGTAAGCACAGTCTAGGAGTTAGGGTTTAGGGTTTAGCGGTTTAGGGTTAAGGGGTTTAGGGTCTAGGGTTTTGGGCTTTGGGTTTAGGGCTTTGGGTTTTGGGGTTTAGGGGTTTAGGGGCTTAGGGGTTAGGTTTTAGTGTCCGGGGCTTCGAGTTTAGGCTCAAGAGATACAGCCCAAGTCAGAGCGAACATAAAGCACAAAGGACACGGATATTGCTTGCCCAACAAAAGTAGTAAGACTCACATGCACTGTCCTGGCCTGACATGTAGGATAAAGACCAAGTCTAATAGTAATGCTCATACCAAGAAGCATGAGTCAGCCCTCCACCGTAAACCCCAGATCCTAAACCCTACACCCTATAAATCCCAAGCCGAAGCAACACATCAGCAAGGATGAATCCTTGAAGTCCGGGGTATTGGCCTCTTGGATACCCAAACCGTGGGACCGTGATACACTCGAAGCATGACCCTAAACCCTAAACCCTAAACATTACGTCTATACGTGGGCTCGTGGTCATCGTGTAGTCCACGGCCTTGAACCGCCCAGCCGATACGCTCTAAAGCCCCGTTTAGGGTTTAGGGTTTAGGGTTTAGGGTTTATCAGCCAGGCATCTCATCCAGGGGCACCTTCAGTCGATCAGAAACCTGCTCCATGGGGGGTTCAGGCTTCGGGACCCGAGATTTTAGGTTTGGGGACCCATCAGTTCTACAACACTTCGTGACCCTAAGGGTCCATGCAACTAGTATAGGCTTTGGCCGTTGACAAAAATAGCCCCTACACAGTAATATAAGTACTTTGGGGCCAAAGTATAGCTTTGGGGCACATGGACCCTTTGCGCAAGCGTGCGACAGTGCTACCGTTTGTAGCACTGCTCCAGGCAACCTTAGCACCTGATCATCTTGAGCACCTTCTTCTCAAGTTCTAGGCTGGCGTACCGCGCAAGGACAATCCTACTAATGTAGGAGCCTTAATAACTAGAATTATCACGAGCCCCCACACTAGTATAGGCAATTATTAAGGGCCCCTATATTAGCACACGTTGGGGTTTGGAGTTTTGGAGATTTCCACCTCGTAATCAATGCAACGACGCTTTAACCGTTGGCTCAGAGTAGGAACGTCACCGACCAGTCTGGCAACCCATATACTTATTATACTCCCAATACAGCACCCTATGGTTGGAAACACGAGAGGGGTCTGGTCTCCACAACTATTGTCGGGGCCTTTCTTATTGGAATAGGGTTTTGGGGCCCATTTTACTATGCTTATAATAAGGAGCCCCCAAAACAGTATAGGTCATTATTTGGGCCCCTATATTGCCTTCAGAAAAGGAAATGGAAAATCATCCCTAGGGAGGGCCATGACATGCTCAACCCTAAACCCTAAAACCATGCCTCACTCCGCCCCAAAAGGGCTTCAGTAATTTAGGTTTTAGGGTATGGCCCAAAATGGCTTTAGTGTTTTAGGGTTTAGGGTTTAGGGCCCAAAAGGGGCTTTAGTAATTTAGGGTTTAGGGTTCAGGCCCACAAGGGCTTTAGTAATTTAGGGCTGCAGGATGGGGGTATGAGCCCAAAACCAGACTAAACCCTAAACGTGAAGTCGCGCAGCCAAGTTCATCAGCGAGGACTTGCGCTTGTCAAAATCCTTCGGGTGATCACGGGGCTTCAAGTTAGAGGTTCACCTTGACCCCTGAACTCTACATGACGGTGAGACCAAACGATGTTAAAATTGATGACACGTCCTAAACCTAAATACCTACATGCTGGCTCCCTGTTGGGGCTACATTACAAGGATCATTGTTGGTCCTTATTGGATCTTACTAGAACAGAAATCTAAAATTGTATCCAACAGCGACCCAGAATCTACTACAATTATAATAATCCCTAAACCCTAAACCCTAAGGAATCCCCCAAACTAGAATAGGTAGTTGTTTCCAGTCTTGGGTTTGGGCTCGATGTCCTTCAACATGGTGATGTCTTGCCCGAGGCAGATGAGGCCTGTGCGAAGGGCAGAGAGTTTAGGGTTTAGGGGTTTAGGGTTTAGGGTTTAGGGGTTTAGGGTTTAGGGTTTAAGGGTTTAGGGGTTGAGGGTTTAGGCTTGCATGGTGTCGGGAAAACCCTAAAGACCCTGAACCCCTCAAAACCTTCCAGCGATATAATCTAAACCTAAAACCCAGATGACAACAACCCTAAACCAGAAGCCCAAAACCCCTACAACCTCACCCCTAAAACCCAAACCATTATATAGACCACCTTCATAGAAACCTTAACATAGACCCCCCTAAGGATCCCTCTAAGGATGCCCGAAAAGGCTTGAGGGTAGGAAGGCGCACTCAAGCTTTGCTGGATTCGCGAGACAGGCCCGGGTTTACGAGACTGGTGCAAGAGCACTCATCGCAGATCATGCTTTTAGGGTGACGGGGCTAGGGTTAACGGGTTGAAGTTAAGGCTTAATTTTCAAGCCTTAGTAAATGACGGTACTATTACTGAGTGTTCCGATGAAGAGGAGAACATGATTGAGGAGAAAGCCAACGCTTCTTACACTGTAGGTTCTATCATCGTTTGCTTCTTGCACCATCTGTTCCAGCAGCGACTTTGGGCTTATTGCACCATGTGTCCCAGCCTTGAAGGCACAGTGAGATCAAGAAAAGAGAAGAAAGAAATGTAGGGGGCCTTAACAATCAGAATACGGGCTTTGGGGCCCGTTATTATACTATGTTTATAATAAGGAGTCCCCCATGTAGTATTGGCAGTTATTTCGGCCCCTATATTACTCCCGGTGTGCTTGGCTTTTCGCTGCTCTGCAACCCCTGCGTGCATAGCAAAGCAAGATCCCCAAGACCACAAAACCCTAAACCCTAAACCCTAAACCACACATCACACTGTCTGCCTGCTCCCGGACCGTCCATCCCGGTGCTCGCTCGGGGCGTTGCTGTGAGCTGTAGGATCGTCGGACACTGGTGTAGATCTGAGAGACCTTGGCGAGTCATAGCTCACTCGTCAACCACAGTGGCGTCGACGGATTTGCAAGTGGGACATGTTCCTGCTCGTATTTTCTGTGCTTCCCCTCCCGACCCTTCAGCCTGCAGACCCCCTTCAGAATTCCCAATTTCAAAAGGAAGCTGCCTTTAGCTCGGGGTACTTGGGTACTGCTTCGACATTTAAGGAAGCCCAGCCATGCACCAGTTTAGGCGCTGCTGGCGGTCTCGACTACAACTTGGCCTTAGTGCATTCTGCTTCAATTCGCAATTCGTTTGTAAGAGTACCTACTGTAGCGTCGGGCCCCAGACTTATCTGTGCACAAGGGTCAGGTGTAGGCGGGCTGGGCGGTGAGTACAATCTTCTGGCTACGACAAGCTGGCCCTATTTGCACTGCAACCGCTTGTACTCATGTACTGCAAGTCCTCGAAAACTTTATGCTGTGGCTAGCATTCCACCGTAGCCGTGCCGGGCGACGAAGCTCAAAGGATTGCGCCTCTGCCTGGGCATGGAGCGGATGCTGCAACGAATGCCGTCCTTCCAACTGTGCTTGGTGCTATTTCCAACAGGTTATTCGCATGTTTGCCGTTGTCGTCGTCGTAGCTGGCAGACGAGCAGCAGCAGCAGTGACTAGTCGCAGAAAGTGGATGACAAGGTAACGGCAGCAGATGTGGTGGTGGTGGCAGTAGCAGGAGGAAGAACAATCTCGTGTGACCATTGCTGTGGAACACAGGTGCCCGTTCGCAAACAGATGCCTGGGCTTTGTCAACCTCACGGTGGACAATCGCACATGCTCTCAGGCAATATAGGAGCCCTAATAATTAGAATAAGGTTTGGGGGCCCATTATAATATTGTAATTGTAATCAGGAACCCCCAAAATAATATTGGCACCTATTCAGGCCCCTATATTATCCTGGCAAGCATCTTTGAAGCGCTTGGAAGGGGTATATGGGTAGCTCTAAACTATAGGGCCTCTTTTTCGGGAACGTCTTATACGGGTGCCGTACTATTTGAGGGGGGACCAATAAAGGCAGCCTAGTTTAGAGAAGTACACATTACTACACAGTTGTGAACCATCGTGACCCGAACTTGGAGCATACTCTACTTCCAAATGTGCTGCACTGCGCCAATCATAGTCAGCAGTTCCATCTCCCTAAACCCTACGTACTAGCACGAGCTTCTATCTGAGTACTATTGATTACTACAGCTGTTGTTCTTCTTCGTATTCTTACGACAATTTCTATTTGTATTATACATATATATATATAAACATGTATATGTATATGCGTATGTACATGTATGTACCCTGTATATAGAGTTGGGCAAGCATCTGTAAGCAAGGAATGTCCGGTGTCCTCACGAAGCTAAAGGCTAACCATCAGCAGAAGATAGTGGTTTTAACTCAACACGGTTTAAGGTGTAAGTAGGGTTTTCCTCCATACAAAATGGTGACACTTACTTCTGCTACTGGTGAGAATCTATAGCTATTTGCGGGCCCTACAAGTTGCGAACGTGCTTCGGATTCGCAGCTTCAACTAGGCTTCTGACTTTCCAAGCCAGATTCGGCAAAGACCCCAGCGGGAAATCATAGAAATCGCATCATCCCAGCCTCGTACATGTATTCATGCCAAGTGGCCTCCGGGCCCTGCCTGTTCAGCGCCTCCCTTAAGATGTGCTCCCAGCTGGACGATTGAGCCAGAAGTCTGAGATGCTGCCCTGGCAAGGTTAAAGTGTTTTGGACTCAAACCTGACTCTTACGTCTTTACCCACAAGCTTTCCGAGATGCTCCTCCTCCTCCTCCTCTCCTGCTCCTTCTTCTATTGTTGCTCTACTCCACTGGGAATCGTGCCCCGACCGCTTAAGCACTCGGGGGTCACCTTTTTGCCTGGAAGATGAGGGGGGTCAGGACGCGACGGCTAGGGAACATTACTATATTCATGGTCGATTACAGTAACTGAGAGAAAGTTCCTACGTACATATACATATATATATATATGATGTGTGTATGCGTGTATGTATGTATGTACGTACGCATGTATGTATGTATGTATGTATGTATGTATGTATGCATGCAGGCATGTATGTTGGTTTGTTTGTACGCATGTATGTACGCGCATGTCTCTCTCTCTCTCTCTCTATATATATATATATACGTACACACATACAGAGGATAGGTCGGCAAATAAATAGATAGGTCGATGGATTGATTGATCGTTCAGATAGATGGGCATAGATAGATCGAGACATAGATAGATAGATAGATAGATAGATAGATAGGTAGGTAGGTAGATAGATAGATAGATAGACAGACAGCTAGACAGCTAGACAGCTAGACATCTAGATACATACATAGATCGATAGACAGATAGATAGGTAGACAAATAGGTAGATAGATAGATAGATAGATAGGTAGATAGAGAGATCGATAGGCAGGTAGATAAATGAATATATATATATATATATATATGAATATATATATATATATAGGTAAGTAGATAGATAGATCGACAGATAGGTAGATAGATAGATAGATAGACAGATAGATAGATAGTTAGATACACAGATAGATTCGCAGATTTATTAGTTGCTAGGTAAGTTTATAGGTAGGTAGGTAGGTAGGTAGGTAGGTAGGTAGGTAG